TTCTAAAATAATTTTAAAGATTATTTTATTTTTATATTATATAAATATTAATTATAAATATTAGTTAAAATTTTTTGAAATATGAAAAAATATTTAAATCTCTTTTTCTCTCACTCCACTCTCTCTCTCTCTCCCTCATTTTTCTCTTTCTCTCTACCCATGTATCTTCTCTCTTCATCTCTCTCCTCATCTATCTATGCTACCCATTTCTCTCTCCTGCTTTAGATGAAGACTTCAAATGATTTGACATATTAAGAATTTGTCAAATCATTTGGCATATTTAGATCTACCCCAATTAATTTGACAAACTCTTTTTTAAATTTTTTTACTAATTATGCTCCTTTTACTTAATAACCTAACCCTCGACCCGCCCTTGCTTGTGGTATAAGGGGGGCGAGAGTTAGGGTATTGTACATTCTCTTCCCTCACAAATATTTAATCCTACCTCCTTCAATCGAACCCTCGCAAGACTCCATCATGTGTTACATCTCATCCTTCCTCTTTCAACCGAGCTTGCACAAAGAAGCTCCTCTCTACAAGCCTTCTTTTCTTAAATTGAACAAATAAAAATCGTAAGCTTCTTTTTTTTTCCCTCTCTATCTCTATTTTCTTCTTGCTCTTTAGACAAAGAGCTAGAAACAAAGAAGTTTTCTTCCTTGTTTTCCCCTCAAAAAATGGGTAAGTTGTAACTTCTCCTCATTTTAACTCCTTATCAACTCATATCCTTGTTTGCTCTCCTTATCAACTCATATAAAATAATTGTAATTATTTAATCTATAAATGCAAAGGAATTTTTTTTTTAACAGGACACAATGGCGAAAAAGGATTCATGTAACTGACCCCACATAGTGGGATAAAAGCTTGATGTTGTTGTTGTTGTTGTTGTTGTTGGACATTCAGGCCAATTAAGATAAACTCACATGCACAATGCATACACAAAACTTGAACCCAAAACCTCTTAGTTGATAGCCTAAACTCCCAACCAACATACTAAGATGAGCTATGTGCAAAGTAATATTTCCGTTATATCCATTGTGAGAATTGATTAAATTAGTTTAGTTTTAAGTAAGGAATTTTAAATTTTCTACTTATATATTGAAAATCGAATGGAGAAATCTTGACTACATATAATTATGTCTCATATCATTGCAATTATTATCTTAGGTTGATTATGAAGTAATCTTCTATCAACTAAAACTTAATTTTCAATGCATTCATTTAACAATTTGTATAATTAATATTTGGTCAAATTAAAGCTTCTATTATCTTAAATTTATGTCCTAAATATTTTATAAATCTAGATTCATTTGCGAGGAACATCATCATATTATAATCGTTGAAGGACATCACTAACTCGCAAGCATGAGTTAGACATTCAGTGGCTATTATGTCAATCATATCAACGAGAGATTATTACGTGTGGAGATCAGACACAGATAACTATTCGGTTTTGTCTCTGTGAACAGTAAAGCATAGTGGTGAACATTAAACACGCAATTTGTTACGCTTTTATTGTTCACAGAGACAAACCAAATGATTTTCTGTGTACGATATCCGCACGTAATAATTCATCCATGTCAACCTACTATAATTGAAATGAAAAAATAAAACTTAGCCAAAACAATGCTAGATGACTTAAGTTTTCAGAACAATTTTCTAATTAAAGGTCTTGAAAGCATGCCGTTTGATCATTGATTTGGGTTTGCAAACCATTTAACTTTCGACAGCGCGGCTTAAATTACGACGCTTCACTATGATTTTGGAAGCTAATCCACCTTGCAACAATGGCTGCGAATAGCTTCTGATCATGCTAGTTCTCCAAAACCTTATTTTTATTACCAAACGAATACTGATCTAAGAATTAGAGAAGGATCAATCCATGGAGAACTGGTTATAACTGCAATAAAGCAAATTACAAATCAGAATCATAGAAACAAGAGAGAAACTCCAAGCCAATGCGCATGAATTTCTCTGCGCATCATGAATTATTCAAAAGCTAAAACAGCTTGCTTCATCTTTTCAGCAAGCAAAGGCCTTCAGATTCTTCCATGAAGACCCTCCTTCACTAACCGCCTTCCTCGCCTTCTCCTTCCACATCTCCGCTTTCATCCTTATCTGTACCCCTCTCTCCCCTTCCCCCATCACAATCTCCAAACATCTCGCCAATTCCTTCGGCCCGACCCGCCCATTCTCGCCCACCTCCGCCTTTACCGCCGTCCCCCACTCCCTCTCCATCAACCACGCGTTCGTTACCTGATCCGACCAAGTCGGCATCGCCACCGCTGGGACGCCGTGAAATAAACCCTCCACCGTCGAATTCCAACCACAGTGCGTTACGAAGCATCCCACGGCCTTGTGCCTAAGCACTTTCCCCTGTTGGCACCATTCCACAACCATCCCCTGCTTCTCTTCACCGTCAAAGTTCACATCTTCCCATCTGCTATCCTTCCTCACAACCCAAAGATAGGGTCTTTGGCTTTCTATTAAGCCTTTACCAATTTCCTCTATTTCCTCCTTACTCATCTTATGAACGCTTCCAAACGCCACATACACCACTGATTTATTTTCCTGTGAATCCAACCATTCCATGTACTTCTTCTCGTCCTCGTCAAACATGTCGCCAGTTTCCCCTTCCGCCGCCTCCTGCACCACCGGTCCTACCGTGATTAACTCCGCATACTCTTCCATGGATGCCAGAGCGTTCATCTCCAGCTCATCAAAAGAGTTCACAAGCACCCTCGGCTTCCCCCCTGCTCGTCTTCTCCGAGACAAATCGTCGAACAAATTGCGTAGGCCATCGAGAATGTCGAAGAACGGCTCCTCAGGAGACGTGATGGTGACGAAGCTTGGAAGATCACGAATTTGGAAGAGGGGGAGGGAGGGGAAAGAGATTGGAAAAGAGGGATCTTTGGCGTGGGAGACGATGAGGGATTCGTACCCGTCGAAGAAATGGTGGTATATGGACAGAACAGTGACGGCTTGGATCCAGTAGAGGGCGGAGGGGACGCCTAGGTCGCTAGCGACATCACCGGCCCATTGGAGCATGATTGTGTATATCAGGCAGGTAACGGGGCGGCCGGAGGTGGCGAAATCTCGGAGGATGGAGGTGAGATGGTTGGAGCCGAGTTGTTTGATTTGTAACATGAAGGAGCGAAGATCGGCATCGCTGGGGTGGTGACTGGAGGAAGACGAAGAGCCGTCTGAGAAGGGGATGTAAGTGATGCCGTTGTGGTGGATTGGGGAGGTGGGGGAAGGGAGAGAAGGGAACATTCGTCGGTGAGCCATGGTGGCAGTGCAGAAGGTGACGTCGGCGGTTGTCGAGGAGGCGAGTCGTTTGGCGAGGTGGAGAGCTGGATTGAGGTGGCCTTGCGCCGGGAAGGTTATGACTAAGAAATGTGGTTTCTTCGTCGGCGGCGGCGGCGAAGGCGGTTGTTGCTCCATTGGTCACCGGCGGAAAGGAAGAAGCTTTGGTTTGGATAAGTCTTTAGTTCTAGCGGCCACACATTGTTGTGAGTCGATTTGAGTGGGAGGCTTCTATTTGGTGTAATAAGGGGTGGGATAGTTATTTATAAAGAGAAAAAGTTTTAGGTACTAAATTAAATAGATAGTAGATACTCAATAGCCGAATTTATAAAAAGAGAGCAGGTTTTTAATTTAATTAAGTGAAATAAACAGATTTAAGAGATAATTTTTTTAAAAAAGTAAATATGTAAAACTAATTTTAACTTAAAAAAAAATAGTTTTGCACATTTAATAGAACGAGGAAAAAAGTTATGCACATTCTATCAAATGCGAAAAATTATTTTCCGCATTTTGTATATTTATTTAATTATTTAATTAATGATAATTAAAAAATGGACTACATATATTTTTATATTATAAAAAAATTAAATTTATCGAAGAATATTATTGATAGCTAACTAATCTTAAGTCATATATTATTATGAAATATATGTAATTTTATATTATTATGAAATATATTTGTAATATTATATGTAATATATGTAAAAGGGTTTTTTTATTATCAAATATATGTAATGTATTACATTATAGATATATTATAATATATATTTATTTATATAAGTAAGTAATATAGTATGAATTAAAGAAATGAATAGATATTTATTCTAATATTATAACTACTTATTTAATTTATATATTAGAAATAATATAAAATAATAATAATATATGACTCAAGATTAATTAAATACCAATAATAATCTTTGATAAATTTTAAAAATTTTATAATATTAAAAAATAAGTAGTCGATTTCTTAATTCATCATTTATTAAATAATTAAATAAATATACAAAATGCGGAAAATAATTTTTAGCATTCAAGAAATCAAACAATATATTTTTGTATAATACAGAAATTAGTTTCACGTATTTCCGCCGATTTAAATTATTTCTTAAACCTGCTTCTTTCACTTAATTAAATTAAAAACCTGCTCATATTTATAAATTATCCTTGTTGGGTGCTAGAATATATGCGGCGGTAGAGTTTCTAAATTCGCGTCCGAGCGTTGTACGAGTATTCAGCACACAAACAGAAAAGATAAATGAATACCAAGGTTTTTACGTGGAAAACCCAAAAAGGGGAAAAACCACAGGGCCGCGCCCAGTTGTAAAGTTCCACTAGTATTTGTTTGAAGTACAAAGGTTGATCCGTCTTACAAATCAAGACGATCATTTTACAATCAACTTGTCACAAAGTTACAAAGTTCTGCAAATTCCCGGCGTTTCCCGAAAATCCTGCAGAGTTCCGGCGTCTTCATGCGGCGAGAAGAGCTCCGGGGTGGTCGAGGAGGAGCTTCTTCCTTCTCTTCCTTATTCTCTTCTTCTTCTCTCTCTTCACTTGAGTCCCCCTTTGTGAAGAATGAGGGCTCTATTTATATTCTGGAGTGGTGTGGCTCGTAAATAGGTGTGAGATCATTGGTGAATAGGGAGTGGTTTGAATGGACGGCCGATATTGAACCCTTCGATCGTGTACAGTTCGTTGGACATTTGGAGGCCTTAGAGATGTCGGAATTCAGCGATCTTGGGCTCCTTGGATTCGACTCGTCGAACCGTTCGATTCGAGTATAAGCTCGTTAAAATCGGAGACTGTTTGGTAACTCAAATTGCGGTTTGAACCTTACAACAGTGCTTCGGGTCCTTGATTTGGACCCATTTGGGCTCGGATTGAGTTGAATTTGGTGTCGTTGGGTTCGCATTTCCGAGACGCTCAGTTTGACAGTAAGCTCGCTGAAATCGGAGTTCAGGTGCTTCCAAATTTAATTTTTGAAGTTTCCGGGTTTAGTTTTGCATAAAGATTCGTGCCCAATCAAGATAATTTTATTATAACGTATCAATCCTATTCAATATCACCTATAGTAATATTTCAATTATTGCATAATTAAAAATTTGAAAGATAATTTTACATCTTAATCTTATTCAAATAAAATAGAGTTTAACATATAAGATATCAAGGTTTTTTTATGAAAATTTGGAGAGAATGAAATATATATATAGAGAGAGTTTAACGTAGATGATCATTCTCTCAATTAGAGAGGATGAGATCATAAAATAGTGAAGTAAAATTTCATGTTTAACCATTGTAGTAGAGCTAATATATTGGAAAATTAATAGAGGTATAATGTAGGCATGATAATGTTAGGTAGGCGATGACAGCGAGGTGACAGTGGTCGAACAAAAATAAATGGACAATGACAATTGAGCGATGGTAATAAGATGATAGTGGTGGATGGTAGTGATCATCTATTTTGAAGTTCAAGTAAAGTTTCAGAGTTCTTTAGATCTCTAAGTTCTCTCTGAACTCCAGTCCAAGCAACCCTCATATAGAGAACGAGGGTAAATTTTTAATATTATGGGGGTGACATCTTGATAAATCTAGCCAAAATTTCATAACATTCCTTCAAACAACTCATATTGAATAATTTGATTATAAATTATTTATTCAACATCTAAGTGCCTTAAAGACTTCAAAATCAAATGATCTTAGTCTCTTTTGATTATAAGTCCTTAACATAAGTAATACATCAAGATTCATGCCGAACAAATAACTTTGGTGACACATCATGAATAAAAATATACACAATTACATTTTATTCCTTTATAATTTTATGATAATGAGCAACTAATTTTCATTTAATTAAAAAATATATGATGATCATCATATTTTTCTTATCAAGTAATCTAATTAATTTCAAATTTCAAGTTATTCGAATCAATCTAAAACCAATAAGAATAATAATTGAATCTTTAATTTAGAACTAATCTAACTCTAATAATTATTCACTTGATTTTTTTTTCTGGGACGTTTAAGGCGTTTGAGCATTAATGAAAGGGGAGGAATTGCTTCCGTCCACTATAGGGTCATAGTACCGATTAATTCAAACACAAATATTTTAAATGAAATTAGTATGTCGAATCATTTATTGATTGAAAGAGCAGTGACGGCAAGAGGAATGATGGTGGGGCAAGAAATGTTTAGATTTTAGAATTTTTTTAAATAATTTTTTTTTAAAGGAAAGCTCATTAAATATAATTTTAGGGAAACAAAATGATATTTGATCTTAAGCCCAGTGTGTTTTAAATAAAAACCTCAATTATTAATAAACCTAATAAATTATGTCAAATTTTTTATACATTAATTTGATATATAAATAAAAACTATTTTGAAAATTATTTAAATTTTACTAAATAATAGCTAATGGATTCATTCTATGCAATCCACGTCACCGTCATTTATGACTATCACGTGTCTTGCACGTGTTTGTTGCAGCAATGATTTGTCGGCATTATTCTATTTTGTTTGATTTTTTTTATGGATTAGTTTGAATTTTTTATTGGAGGAAGCATAGATTTAAAACCCACGAGGCTGGAACTGATGTGATTGACTGTCTTGATTTCTACGAGGCAGATTTTTTGCTTTTTATTTTCTTAAATAGTTAAGACTTTTGCAGTTTTGCTGGTTATACTCCCATCTCTATGAAATGGAATCACTGGTGCAACAATTCAACCATTAGTGAATTTTTAGGGGGCCAAAATCTGGAGGATATTTCTGATTTCTTTTTGAAGGACCTTATCTCCAGTTCTCACTAGATCCTTCCTGAGAACTTCCCTCTGCATTTGAGATATGTTTTTGGGAATTTTAATGAAATTGGGGATGCTGGTCCCTGCCTGCTTTGGAAAAATCGAAAAAATTATAAGTTTAATAGTTTTATTGAGTATTACTCTGATATCCCAAATTGCTCTTGGTACAAACTGGTTTGGCCCAAAAGGAATATCATTAAGCACACGGTTTTTGTTTTGTTGGCATTAGTGGGAGGCTTAAAGACTGCGGATGCTCTTCATATTAGGAACATCTCTGTTACAGATATTTGCAGTTTATGTTTTTTACATAAATAAACTGTTTCTCATATGTTCTTTGATTGTGCTTACTCTTTCTCTATCATTTTCGCTCGCATGCCTGGGTTGCAAAGTTCCCTCCTTAGGCCCAATATCTTCTGGAATGGTTTAAAGTTGAGTTTAAAGGCAATGCTGAGATTAAAATTTTTTATAAAGTTATGACTTGTTATGCCATTTATCACATATGAAAAGAGAGAAATGGCAAAAGATTTGGGAACTCCTCTAATTGCTATAATACCTTGCTGCTCAACATTAAAAGAAACAAGTTTGATAAGGTTTCTAAATGGAAGAACTCACGGGACTTGTTGGGGAAACTATAGTGATGTTAAAAGACTTTGTCTGGGGGATTCGGCTCTCTGAGTTTTCTCTGCTTTACTTCTCTCTGTTGTTGGTATCATTTATGGTAATTGCTTTGCAATGTGTTTCTCAAGAGCTTGGTGCGGGGTTCTTTCCTGCTGGATTTTCTATTACTTATGGATGGTCTTTTCGGACAACCAAGAGTGTTGGACTGCTGGCGTTGGGTTTTTGAGGACGATGATGATAGCTGCAGATTTTAACTCCCCTTGGAGGGTTTGCGGGGCAACCAGGGGACATCTGACCAACGTTTTATCGACTGCAGCCTAAGTCCTTCATGATGATTCATGAAGTGCTGATGGAGAATTGGATCATATACCACATTTTGGTCTCCTTTAATGTTTGTTTTGGATGTATTGGGTGGTATATTTTTTGGTTTTTTACTTTTTCTTACAAGCTAATTTTTTGTATTTAGCTTTGGTTGGGTGTATTTTTCTTTCTGAATTGTAATGTTTTTGTTTCATAGCAATATATGGGCATATGCCCCAAATTTTCCCAAAAAAAAAAAAATATGAACGACAGTGTAGCCCTAATTTTTACGTCTCTATATTGTATGAATATCTAGCACACGGGCCAAAGAGCACAGGATTTCTTATGTTGAAAAATCTTGAAAAATGGAAAAATCACGAGGTCACGCTCAGTTAAAATGATTCCACTAGTGTTCGAGTAGATTACACTTAACTGAATAGTCCTTGAGGATGATCATATTACAATAATCAACAATCTGATTGAAATATGGTGACAAATGAAGGTCAGATGAAGCCCGACGACGTTCGAACGAGTGGAAGCCCGGCATTAGTCGGTGGTCCGACGTAAGTCCAGGTGTCGATCGATGGTCCGACGTAAGTCCGACGTCAGTCGATGGTCCGGCTGAAGTCCGGTGTCGGACGATGATCCGGTAGAAGTCCGGCGTCGGTCGGTGGTCGAGGAGCCAGGTGGCAAGAACGATCTCTGGTCTCTCTTCTTGTTTCTTTACTTGGGGATCCCTTTTCATGAGAAGTGAGGAGTCTATCTATAGATTTTCTAAAGTGACATTGTTAGTAAAAACGAGAAAAATCAAAGAAAAATTGGGATTGGTTTACATGCATGGCCGATATTGATTCCCTTGATAGTGGACCGTTCACTGGACATTTTAATGTCTTGGTAATTTTAGAATTTAGTGATCTTGGGCTCGTTGGACTTTTCACGTCGAGCCGCTCGATTCGACTATAAGCATGTCATGTTTGGAAAACATTTGGTAATCCAAATTTTGGTTTGAACCTTACAACAGTGCTTCGGGTCCTTGATTTGAACCCATTTGGACTTAGATTGAGTCGAATTTGGTGTCGTTAGGTTCGTATTTTAGAGTCAGTCAGTTGTAAGTTGGTTGAAATCAGAGTTTGGATAGTCCCAATTTTAAATTTAGAAGTTTCCAACTTAATTTTGCCTCTAGATTCATGTCAGATCATGGTAATTTTTTAATGATATATCAAGACTCAAACCCGTGTTACAAATATAAGATTCAAATTTGTTGCGTTCTAGAATATTGTGGTCGGTAGAGAAATATATAGTTTAACGTCTTAATATTATACGAAGATCCAGCACACAAGAAGATAAGAGAGAGTGTGTGTAGCATTCATAAGAGACACCAGAGTTTTACATGGAAACCCCTAAAAAGAGGTAAAAAAACCACGGGGCCTGGCCCAGTTTGAATGAATCCACAAGTATTTGCAGTCGATTACAAATGAGGCCCTTCTTAGGGAGAAGGCCTTGGCTTGATGTTACAAATATATGTCATATAGAGTGCATTACATGGTGGGAGTTACAATAATCAACATAGACATATTTATTTGGTTGGAAGGGCCAAAGTCAGCACGAGACAGGAGTCCGAAAGATCATAGTTGGCAGGAGATCAGGGTCAGAAAGATCGTTATCTTATGATAGAGATCAGAATGACTATAATTGGCAAGAGACAGGGGTTTGAAAGACCATAGTAGAAGGGTGGTATCCAGGAGAACTCTCGGCGTCAAGTGGTGGCCCGGCAGAAGTCCGAGTCTTGGGTTGTGGTCCGATAGAATTTCGGGCCTCAGGTGGCGATCTGGCAGAAGTCTGGGACTCAGGTGGTGGTTCGGAAGAACTTTGGGCGTCATGTGGTGTCCTGGTGAAGCTCGGAGCCTCAAATGATGGTCCGACAGAGGTCCGGGCCTCAAGTGGTGGTCGGACAGAGTAATAACGTTAGGCGGTGGTCCGGCGGAGGTGAGGGCCTTAAGTGGTGGTACAACGGATCAACGACATCAGGAGGCGGTCCAGCGGGGGTGAGGGACTCAAGTGGTGATCTAGTGGAGGTGAGGGCCTCCAGTGGTGGTCTGGTGGAGCAACGATGTCAGACGGTGGTCCGGAGGAGGTGAGGGCCTCAAGTGGTGGTCCGGCGGAGCAACAACATTAAGCTGTGGTACGGCGGAGGTGAGGCCCTCAAGTGGTGGTCCGGCGGAGCAACAATGTTAAGCTATGGTCCGGCGGAGGTGAGGGCCTCAAGTGGTGGTCCGGTAGACGTGAGGGCCTCAAGTGGTGTTATGGCGGAGCAACGACGTCAGGCGGTGCTTCGGCGGAAGTCCGGTGGTGGTCTAAGAGGACCTTCTTCTTTCTCTTCCTTCTCTTATTACTTGGATCCTCCTTTCAAGAAAAATGAGGGGTCTATTTATAGATTTCTTAAGTGGCATGGCCCGTAAATAGGTGAGAGATCAAGGGTAAATGAGGAGTGGTAGGATGGACGATTGATATTGAATCCCTTGATCATGTACCGTTCATTAGACATTTGAAGGTCTTAATGATGTTTGAATTCGGTGATCTTAGGCTCGTTGGATTCGTCTCATTGAGCCGCTCAATTCAATTATAAAAACGTCATGTTTGGAGACCGTTTGGTAATCCAAATTGTGGTTCGAACCTTCCAATAGTACTTCGGGTCCTTGATTTGTATTCCTTTGAGCTCGGATTGAGTCGAATTTGGTGTCGTTGAGTTTGTATTTCCGAGAAGTTTAGTTTGACTATAATTTTACTGAAATCGGAGTTCGGATGGTCCCAATTTTAATTTTGAAAGTTTCCATGAAATCGGAGTTCGGATGGTCCCAATTTTAATTTTGAAAGTTTCCAACTTGATTTTGCATCGAGATTCGTGCCCGATCAAGATAATTTTTTGATGACGTATCAGAATTCAAAATCTTTTGATTGATAACCAAAATTTTCAACCAACAGATGAAGATGAGCTGCATGAAGTAGATTTATTATATTGACATATTAATAGCAATGCAACTCTTCTTGATCTATTAACATGGAGGTCTTTTATTTAAGTCCTAAGTATATGATATATGTGTGAATGTCTTAATTAGCCTAAATGTCCCAATTAGCCTATATATATATATAGTACTAATATATTAAATATTAGTTTTTAATTGTTATAATTTAATCGTTCGATATTTCATAAAATAAAAATAGTTATAAAAAGTTTTTTATTTTATGTTGCTCATAGTAATATTATTTGAATAAATATTTTATATTAAATTTTATTTGAAAAAATATATTAATAATTCTATTTCAGATCAATTTAAATTTGATATGAATATATATTTTTGTCAACATTATTCCCCTCTCTCTTCCATACAGCTTTATACGTTTATTTAAATTGTTAATAACTTTGTACTTTTAGCTGAGATTTCTAATTACCTCAAAAAAACATGAAGATCCCAATTACGAGCTTGAATCGATTGAAGCAGTTTTTGTTGACTTCCACAATCATTAATAAGTTTTTTTTTTTTTTAATATTTGAATGATTTGTATATTTTATATTTGATCTGAGCAAGAGAATTTAGATATTTTTGATGGAGGCCGAATACATAAAACCAAATAGAGGAGCAAAATAATATATTCGAATAATGTTCGATTAACAATAAGAAAAGATTAAAATAATATTTTAACCTACTTCAAATCTTATTAGACCTGTTATTAATTTTGTTTAAGGCTTCATTTGGCAATAGAGAGATAATTAATAATTAATGTTATTTTTAATTCACTACCCTTGAGCGTTGAAATATTTTTGGCAATCGAGAGATAATTTAGCATATGTACAAAAATCGTATATATTGATACATCATCACGAAATAATTTTGATCGGGCACGAATCTCGAGACAAAAACGAACCCGAGAACTTCAAAAATTAAATTCAGGAGCAGCTGAACTCCGATTTCAGCGAGATTATAGTCAAACTGAGCGTCTCGGAAATACGAACCCAATAATGACACCAAATTCAACCCAATCCGAGCCCAAATGGATCCGAATCAAGGACCTGAAGCGTTGTTGGAAGGTTCGAGTCACAATTTGAGTTACCAAACGGTCTCCGATTTTAACGACTTGAATCGAGCGGCTCGACGAGACAAATCCAACGAGCCCAAGATCGCCAAATTCCGACATCACTAAGGCCTTCAAATGTCCAACGAACGGTGCACGATCGAAGGGTTCAATATCGGCCGTCCATTCGACCACTCCCTATTCGTCCATGATCTCACACCTATTTACAAGTCATGCCACTCTAGAAAAACTATAAATAGAGCCTTCATTCTTCACAAGAGGACTCAAGTGAGAAGAGAAAGAAGAAGAGAAGAGAGAAAGGGGAAAGGGAGAATCATCTCCTCCTCGACCATCGCCGGAGTTCTTTCCGCCGCGTGAATACGCCGGAACTCTGCCGGATTTTCAGGAGACGCCTGAATTCTGCATAATTTTGTAAATTTGCTTCAAGTTAGAAGAAATGGATTGTAATCTGATCGTCCTGACTTGTGGGACGAATTAGCTTCTTGTAATTTACAAAACGCTAGTGGAACTTTTCAGCTGGGCGTGGCCCCGAGGTTTTTTCCCTCTTTCGGGTTTTTCACATAAAAATCCTTGTGCTCATTCTCTTTCCTGTTTGTGTGCTGAATATTCGTGCAACGCTCAGACGTGAATTTGTAAACTCTACCGCCGCATATATTCTAGCCCGCAACATATATATAAATAAAATAAATCAAAATTAGCTTATTAGAGGTGAGATTTTATGTGAAAATCTGAAATGGGAAAAAATATGGGGCTTGAATAAGTTCAAAATTTAAAATGACTCCACCAATATGTATCATAGAATATATCGTACCGCATTATATATTTTTAAATTTTTAATATTTAATTTTTTAATATAATGAGTCTGCCATTCTAAAAAAAAGGACTGAATCCGCCCCTGATCTAAATCTTGCTCAATCCTTTGTTGAAATCTAATTCTGTAATTCATTGTATTCGATAAATTATATTGACTGAACTGTGATTTTACAGTACTGCTTATAAAGATTCTGCTAAATTTTCTCTGCATGTTTTCAGTTTGGAATTGAACTGTCATATTTGCTCTGCAGCATAGCCACCATAAATCAGGAGATGTAGCTTGATTGCTTTATCTTCCTTGTTCAAAGCTTCTTTATGTTGTTTCTGATCTCCCTTTCCAGACTTGTGGTGCAAGCATCATCCACACTGCAAATAATGAAACATTTTAAGAGAAAATCTGAGATCCATTTCATGGTTGGCATAAAATATTAACAACCTTTTGAAGGATATTAATGCAAATAAATGTGATAGGAAACACTTAGGATGATCTCAAGAATTTTCTATCAATATTTGAAAAACATAAAAAATTTTCCGCAAGAATCCACACAAAATCAGGAAAATAGTAGATAATTTGTATTATTCGATGAAATAGAATCGGAAAATAACTAGATACAATTGATCCTCTATTCGAGAGGAGGATCTCTTTCTCCCAAATCTCTAGATGTCGCTAGAGCCCAAAAACCTAAGGGATCTCAAATTCCGGCCAAATTCAAGATGTCCTAACCCTAGGAAAAAAACTATTTAATGTATACAATCCAAAAGGAAATCTCTAAACAGTCCCTACATTTGAATTTCCCTCCTAACTCCCTCAAAATTCCTTCATAAACAGCATTCTTAAACTAGGCGGCTCGATCGCACGTACAGGAGGGCAGAGGAGAGGCGGAACTCTCCACCTCTATTCCGCCCAAGCCAATACCGTATGAACCAGCTAGACCGGTCCAATAAAATGCTCAGTCATAAAAACTAATATGAAAATAATAATATCAAAAAGAGGCTTATTATTGTTAAATCATTTGGCAAGTTTAGCTGATACACATTAGGAGCTTTCCCCATCCTCAGCCAAGATAGATTTAGTTGGCACACATGAGGACCATCTCTCCATATCCATTACAACCCCTAGGCTGCTTTATAGATCAAGGTTTAAGTCTGGTGTGATTCCAAAAGATCACTAGGGTAGGAAAAATCATGGACAACCAGGGCTAGCACACCTTCTTCTCTAATCTCCCAGACCCCAGTTTATATATACTTTTGGGATTCAGGATTTATATAAGATTGGAAAAGTTTATATTTGTTATATCGCAAAATAATTTCCAGAGTTTCATCCCATTTGGAAGAGAAATTATTCTGTGTGAAGGCCGGACATAGCTGTATGTTCGGAGGCGAATTAGGTGCAGTCACGTCAACGGTACCGAGCGAAGGAATGATGTGACGCATTTTGGTTGGTCTCCGGACGGCATTTGGGGGTCCGCACAGAATAATTAATCCATTTGGAAGCCCCGCAAATTGTCTTATTATTACTATTGATCTGTGTATAATTTCCAGAGTTTCATAAGAGAATTGTGAACTTCATTTACCTAATAGCCTCTTTGTTCATCAGACAAATATGTAGTTTGCTTCACTTACCAAAGATAATTGCTGCTAGCCATTCATTCACAACTCTTACCCAGGTACTTGCCCAGCCAACATCTATTGTCCATCTGCGTATATTAGATAAGATTGTACTTATTGATTGAGAGAGAGAGAGAGAGAGCAGATTCAACATGAGATATGAAACTTACTTCTGCATGTTTTTATGCACATCCCAGCCAATAAAGAGCATCCCAAAGTACATGGAACCAATGGCAAAGACAAAATGGAAAAATCCATATCCATATGGCACATCATCATCAGAACTCCTTTCAATCTTTTTAAACTGTATAATGAAATAACTCTATAATTACAGCAAGGAAAAGTGCTAAAATTTGTATATTGCAACCATCTCAAAGCAAATATAATAATTTTCAGATTCTTCTAGATCAAAATGAGCCAATTTTTTTCAATGTGTAATTCATAGATAAATATATTGTGTGATTGAGACATTTTTATACCTGAAAGCATTTGGAATCTATTCCTGTTGAAAATGTTGCGACAACGATGACGAGTATCGCAATAACAAAACTCTGTCATAAATAGATCGAGCTTTTATGAGATCAAATGAATATGAAGCATTCTTGTATATATCAGAAATTAATTATCTGAAATATTACCAGTACCGCATAGAGTAGATTTCAAAGAAAATCAAGGTCATGGAGCTATCAGTCATCAAGTTTAGAACAAGATGCAAGAAATATATGAAACACCTTATTAAAGTTTCACCATTGGAGTTAAGCAAATATTTGGCTGAACAGCAGAAATGGCTTTGAGATTTTAAGGAAAAACAACTGTGAGAAAACTTTAGTTGTGTGAAACCTGAAAAGTTATTTTCTTCAAAGCACAGCACGATACAGCTTTGCCAACAAAACTTCGTCTTCTTTTGAGACGGGTTTTTTATTGCTTCTTAAAGCTACTTTCTAGTCAAAAAATATGAAAATTTATGCTAAAAAACTGTTTTAAGAAGAAGCAAGAAAGCCGTCCCAAACAAAGCCTTCAGAGATCTCTGATTAAGTATTGATTTCTCGGGTCTAAAATAACTATAGTTTTATATATATAATCATCAAAAACAACAAGTCATTCAAAATGTCTATGAGCCATTGTTAAACTCCCAAAGTGAAATATTTGAAAGAAAATATTGCTCAGTAATTACTGTTTGCAACCAAAAAGCTTCTAGAGCTGTACCACAATGGTGAGCCAGTCTGAACCGTTTCCAACTTCTGCTTTCTGGTTGCAGATCTCTGTTTGAGGTTCACTGTCATTTAGGCATCAGAAATCACAAATATGATAAAAACTAAGAAATTGCAACAGCAAAGGAGAAGAATTGAATAAATTTAGCTACTTACTACAAATTGGAAAGATAAAATGAATAAATTAATAAGAAAAAAATTGTTCATGAATCATGAATATTACCTCCGAATTCCACTCCAACAAAGAAAAACTGTATAAGCACCCATCAGCCCTGGTGCCAAGTATCCAGCTCTTACCTATTTAGCAAAAAAAAAAAAAAATTATGAGGTCAATATACATTAAAAATACAACTAATGAATCAAAAGCAAAAAAGATTAATTATAAATCTAACCTTAGGGTGTACTGAGATAAAAGTCATAATTTGCAGGAGCAAAAGAGTAAGACTGATAAATAAGATATTAAGCCAGCATGATAGCTCAGGTGCATACCATACATACATCATGATGCATCCCACAATGGATGCAACATATGCAGCCATTGTGATGATCATCACTTGGATGTGGCTGCAAATCAGAATACGTTATATGCATAAGCTAAAGTTCATATATTTGCAAACATTGCGAAGAAAAATAAGACGAAAAGAACGAAAAAACATACCATCTCTCTGCATATTTCTCTGAATGGCAGCAATCATTCAACCAATTAATGAAGCTTATCACACTAATGAGTTGAATAACAAGGAAGGCACTGAAATTATACGGGATTAAAAATAGTCAAATGGTAATCTTTCATCTCTGATTATACAAACAGAGAAATGCCACTTTCCCTAATTGTATAGTTGTTGAAAACATTGTCATTCAATGATAAAGGCTTCGTTCAAGACGGCTTTCTTACTGCTTGTTAAAGTAGTTTTTTAGTACAAAAATTTAATTTTTGAACTAGAAAACTGTTTTAAGAAGCTGTTAAAAGCCATCCCAAACGAAGTCAAAATAAGAGAGAAGAAGATAAAAAATGCATACCCTGCACCGACATGCGCCACCTTTCCTGCATCATAGCATGTAACATGAAGTGAAAAAGCAAAAACATTACATAAATTAAGGGAAAAAAATCGAACTCTCTGCATAAAAAGAATACTTGCTCACCATAGATCATAAAAAACTTTGATGGAATGAAGAAGGGAACAACCATGAAAGACACCCACATGAGCATCTTAGCTAACCACCACTCAGAGTGCCATGAATTCCTTGCATCCTTCACCTTCTTTGTGCCCACAGTAGTAAAAAATAGGACAAAGAAGAACATCTAAACAACAAAATCAAGGGCCCAAACAAAAAAAAAATTGTAAGTTGAAACATTCAATCAAATATGGATCCCAATTTTATGAAATAAATTTATTTTTCTACCCCCAATACATGCATAATCAAATAAAATATAGATTGAACCAAGCGAAAAAAATAATTTAAATTAAATCGAACTAACCCAAATCATAGCTTTTTTTAATTTTTCATAGCTTGAAAACAAAGCTGACACATTTATAATTTGTTGGATTTCAGAAAACGTTAGCGAGTAAACAATGAAGGATACAGAACAGCCAAAACTAATACGAAGCACGCCTTCTGTTCCCAAGCAGTAGCGTGCGCCATGGCATCCTTTCAGCCCTACAAAACAGAGCTTAGAAAACAGAGCAGAGAAGAAAACTAAGAAGAAGAAGAATGTATACTGCGAAGCTCTGAGAGCACTGCGTGGCCATAATCTCGAATAGTCCATGCAAGGAGACTTGTGATGAGGAAGATGAAGGCGTATATGTAACGAGCAATGGAGGGGTTGGGACGAAGAAAGAGGCGGGTAAACCATGAGTCCTTCTCCCTGTAACCTGGATCCTCCATGACCATGCCAATCTTCCTCAGCTCATCTGTAACTGCAAGGAGAGGGAGGTGAGAGGTACAACGGCAAGCTTCTTAATAGTTGTTTATTTTAATTAAAAATATACATATTTTTTAATCTGTATTTTTTATATAAACATCTCATAATTTATGAGAAATCATAGTTCAGCAGCAACTTTACAATGAAGTAGCATGTGAATATATTTATGCTATGAGTTTAATTTAAATGTAAAAATATATCAGAAATGTAAATTAAATATTAAAAATAAAGAAATACTATATCAAATTTATTAAATTTTTATAATAAAAATGCGTGACATTTGTAGTATAGTAACACTTGAATTATATTTTAAGATTAAATATTCATCTATTTTGAAAATTGCTTATTTAAAAAATAAAATAAAAATCATTTATTAAAAATTTTTGAAACTTATTTTCTGATAATTCTAACTCTGCTCTATTAATTACATAAAAGTTTGTGGAACATAATCCTAGATCCTAAGACAAATTTGCCTCAAATTTTGCAAATAATTACTCCCCTCTCGGTGCTCTAAACAATTTAGTTTCCATTGTGAATTACCCATTGAGTTTAGGTTTGGCTTTTAACCGAATAACCAATCCACATTTTTCTTTTTTTTTTTTTATAGAGGATATAAATAGTTAAATACATAACACTTAATTTTTTTGCATAATTCATCATTATTTACTCTTGTAACACCTCATATGCCATCCAAATCTGTCACAACTTCCTTGTAAAGCATAGCATGATATTTATCTCATTGCCACCTTGGCGCACATCAATCAAGAAGTGATTATTATATGCAGAATCCGAACACTTATAACCGTTCAGTTATGTATTATGAACAATAAAAGCACGGTTATTATTCACCACTGTGCTTTTATTATTCATTCATACGTTTTTTACTATTTACAATCACAAAACTGAACGATTCTTTATGTCTGAACTCCGCACGTAATAATTCCTCTCAATCAAGACACCACATTCGCACGATAGCAATCTCTTCATGCCCTCTCCAACGGAATCATGATGATGCACTCATGAGCGATGCCGAAAGCTCCATCCAACAATAAAGAATGGGTCAACTGTCTCAATCCTTTCCCACCAAGATCCAACACAACCTCCTCAACTTAGATTAGATCCATCACAATTTTCTTTACATTGTGATAAAACATTTCATAAACAAAGAAGCTAAATTATATAAATATTAAATTTTAAGTATTAAATATCTATTTTAGAAAAAATTAAGTGCTACCTCTATAAATCCCTATTTATTTCACATCAAATAGAACCATACCGATGCTTTACTACTCGAACATCATAGAACACCATATTAGCCCAGTTATTTGAAATTATCTATTTTCTAAATATTTTCCACCATTAATTACACTTTAACCGTCCAATTATAGCGATTATTGTAATTTTTGAACTATTATTTCTTAACAGAGTAGAATAAAATGGACAAAGTTGGTTTCTTAATATTAATATTAAGAGATTGAAAAAAAAAATTATTTAAAAATTTAATATAAAAAAATATTAATATTTCATTTGAAATAATTCTATATAACAACTTTTTATAAATTTTTTAAAAAAATAAAAAAATAATGATAAAAAACTATCCCAAACAAATCCTTAAATTAAGTTTGACATAACTTTCTACTTTTTAAAATAACTTTTTATTAAAAAAAAACTTCTTAAAAGAATTTTTATACTTTGAAAATTACTTTAAAAAATAATAAAAAATATCCCAATCAAAGCCTAAATGCTTGTCTGCTTTATAGATATATTATGTTTTGGAAGGAATTTATCAAGCAGTGGCTCTATTACTCCTAAAGAAAAGAAAAAAAAAAGATTTCAGATCAAATCTGAGAGCACATTCATCCTCTCTGCCTTAATTTCCAACAAATAAAGCCTATTCATACTTGAAAAGAATCTTAGCAACGCTAAGCCCCCACTGCTTTTACAACAGAGAGATTTCCAAAACTTTCATCACGTTAATAAAGACGGCAATACCGTCAGATTAGCAGCAAAAGCAAAGGATATCAGAATAGTTGCTTCTCATCCAATTATTCTTGCAAGATAAAGCTAACCATAACACCATAAATTGAAGGCAGACACTTAGAGGAGATTTAAAACTCGCCTGATCTGCGACTAAATTCACACTGAGATCTACATCTTTAGAGAAGGAAAACAAGGCAATTTTTTCACATGTTGTGAGAAAAGTGAATGAGTTTTAGCAATGATACACAGAAATAAACGGTTTAGGCTGCTCAAATCAAGCCAATTTCAGTAATCAGTTTCAGTTTTATAGAAATCTTTTGAGTATGTATATGAAGAAATTATTCTATGTGGACACCGGACGGAGAGAACCGTCCGAATTTGTTGCGCTTCTATTGCTCTTCTGTTGCGCTTTTACAAAAGGATAATAAAAGGACAGCAAATTTTCAATTATGAATGTGTTTTTAGTGCCCTTTTGCAAAAGTGCAATAAAAGTGCAACAAACATTCAATATTTTAGCAAATGTTAAATATTTGCAGGCCTTTACTGTACCAAAACGCAAAAAAAGAACATTAAAAGAGCAGTAAATTCGGACGGTTCTCTCCGTCCGGTACTCGTACAGAATAATTAGTCCTGGATATGGGGGTTGGGGAGGAGGGGTTTTCAGTGTAACACCAAATTTTGTTCAATTAGAGGAAATATCAGCCTCCTATCTCCATTATTCCTCAAACAGTCAAATTTATCAATTTGTATTCTCAACTATTCGTCAAATTATCAATTACATAATCTCAAAACCTGCAAATTCATAAATTTGGTAGTTTATTGTTTGGTATGAGTACTTAGATTTATAAATATGGGTACTTTGGGTGTCATGGAAATAATTCCAGAGAACAGCAGTGACACAATGAAATGAAATTTAATGAAGAATGACTAGAAATGGATGAATATCAGTAATTTGTGAAGCAAATCAATATCATCCCAATGTTTAAGCTGGCTAATGTTACTGACCTACAATGGAAAAAGTCTCCGGCCGCCAGAAACCAAGAGCCGATGTCTCCTCCGTTTCCTGCAGCATATAAAGCATTAAAATAGAGCTTTAAGAGAAAGAATTTAAGAGAGAGAGAGAGAGAGAGAGGTGGTTTTATACATTAGCAGAGGTGCCCATCTTCTCCTTAATTGCTTTGCCTTGCTGCTCCCGGTAGAATAATTGCACAAGTAATATATATATATTACAGGCTTGTTCGCCCCAAGTTACTTTGCTTCATCAATCAACAGAAATAAGGCGTACTCCTCACACAACAAAAGCTTACACGGTAACACGACCAAATCTCTGACGTCCATTTCATGCATCCCTCTGGACTCCACCATAATGCTTTTTATGCTCTGATATGTGGGACCATCAAATAACGAAGAAGAAATGGAAAGCATAGAACGAGGCTTTTTTTTTCTGCCTTCTGCTGGCAAGGCACAGTTTGAGAGATTTGGAAGCCAGGTTATTGCTCAATTTCTTATATGCTGATGTTCAAGAAAATGAATGCTGAGAAATTCTGTGTTTACTCTTAACATCTATCTCATCAAAGTTTATTGGGCGATGCACAAAAAAATTTGTCAATTAGGCCTCATTTGTTTCGGAGTTTTTTTACCTTTTTCTGTTCAAAAACGGCAAAATTATCTTTTTAGGGAACTTTATTTTTTACTGTTTTGAGAAACTTTTTTATATTTATTTCTCCGTTAGAAAACTCCATTCGCTTGAATAACCAAACGAAACCTTAGTCACTCCGTGGCACAATACAATCTTAGTGTGATTGAGTTTTAAAAAGTTTCAAATATCAAATTTTCCTTTTGCAGAAAATCGTGTATGTGCACATTTTCCATGGTTTAATAATAATATGCCAAAAATTAACCGAACTCATCCTTCCTTGTGAGATAAGATGGGTGGAATTGATTTTATTTCTTCCAGCACAGATCAACGCCGCCAAAATAATAAAAAAATAGATAAAGGATTGAACTGGTCCTATAATTTTTTCTGAATAATCAAAATAATCCCCAACTATATCCAATAATTTGATCTCTTGACTCTTATTTAACCAATTCATGGATGCCCAGGGTCAAAACTAGCCTTAGTTCTCAGGAGAGGCAAGTGGCAAATTTATAAAAAAATTAAAATATATATAAGAGTGCAAAATAATTTATTTTGCAAATAATCATTTTTCACAGACTTATTTGTTAGTGTTACAAAAATTCAACATAATTGAATAAAAATAGCGGAAAGCCAAGATGCTTTCCGATTTTTAGAGGGGCAAATTGCGTGAAAAAAAAGTCGGCTTGGGGCAAAAAATAAAATTCAGAGGGCGCATATTACAAATAACCCTTACTATACTAATAATTTTATTTTTTTAGGGAGACGGGCAGTACACAGTTCTGCCCTTGCATGGATCATTAAGGTCCCTACTTAAAAAGTCAAGAGACTAAAATGAGACTTTAAATAGTCGGAATCATTTTGGGCCTTATAAAATATCAAGGGAATATTTTATTCTTTCCCTAAAAAAAATGAAAGCATAATTTTGTTTTTGTATCAAAAATAAAATCACTAGCCCTACAAAAAACCTGACGAGTTACACCCTCAATGATGAAGCCGCTAAGAAAATGCTTGTACAGTTAAAAAATTATCATACCGTGATTTTTTAAAAAATAAAAACATAATAACTTTTTAATTATCTCAAAAATATTATCAGACTTAAGGGTCACTTGAAAGAGAAACAAAGCATACGTACCTTAACATTGCATTGGTCACAACAGAAAAAGCCAATTAGCGGATTGGGTCACACTGGAGAAGATATTAAAGCGACTGAATCTGGAAGAAAAAAAGAGGTTATGGCCAAAAATATGCATGTGATCACCCTTTTGGCTTTCATTAGAAACAAAGTAGATCAAGGACCGCACATGAAAGCAAATAGGAATCAGTAAAGCGTACCAACCAAATTAATTTAGATCAACATGAAAACAAATACTACAGAAACTTGTCAGTCATATCAACACAAAATGAATTATCGTACAATGCATTAGGATCTGTATGCTTCAACCAGATTACTTTATATCACCGCTAACAGGAAAAAAATAATTTAAAGCTAAAGGTTTAATAATACGGAAATCCATTTATAACACATTTCTACGGTTCTACCCCGAGCACGCCCAATAGAGTGAAATTCAATCCACACATGAAGATGCAATTATCAAGGGCGTGCTGCAACGGTTAAGCTAATAGCCTGTCGGTGATACTTTAATAAAGAAAACCTTCGACATAAAATCACAGATAATAGTGAGCTAAATACTGTCATTCTTGACCGCATGCTCAGATGTTCTAGACTCAAAGCATAACATGTAATAAAGATGACTTTAAAGTTGAAATATTATTCATAAATTTGCCAAAGAACTAAATCACCTGTCTTACTATATGGCATGACACCATTAATCATTAATTTTAACTTTAGCTTTTAGTTGAAATGATAAACATTCGAAAGCAAAATTAAAATTAGTTCCATTCTCGCCGCAAAAAAAAAAAAATCCAAACTTACAATCAATTTTGACCTAAATATATGTGGGCTACGAAACTTCGACGCGCACCGGCCTCTCCGGACTGTCTTCTTTCTTGTTTGTTGATAGCGTGACGGCGGAGAGTTTTAACAAGCTTAAGTTCTGGGTGAATTTTAAGAAGGCAGATTTGGTTTTAAATAAGACATTACCCGGAGATTTTGCCCACATTTTATGAGGACTTTATGATCTGAATTCTGGTTTCCAATAGGCGCAAGCCTCTATAGTTAATTCCCCCTCCCGATAACGAGAGAGAACTTTTGATCAAGACAAGTTATTAAAGAGGTCGTATAGGTTGTAAATCCAGTGTATAATAGCAATAGTTTAAGGCTTTGAATTATGGATATGAATTTTATAATTTGAAAAGTTAAAGTTTATCACCATAAACTTAAAATAAGTGATGGGGGGAATGAAGAAAAGCCCGATCAAGATCCCATGGTTCCATCGTCCCGAGTTGTCATGGTCCCTGGTCTACTTAGTCAGAGGAGGTAGTCGATCCAACATGACAATACCTTATCGGCGGTCATGGGTTGGTTCATCCAAGAATACCTTGTAGACCATGAGTGGTGTTTGCTTAAGAGAATAGATCTAAATCCACCTTAACTGATAGAGAACTTTATGCCTATCAAATATACCCTATGATTCATTACTCAAGAGTTTAGCGCCATTAAGGAACATGCGGGCTATGGCCGTGATCGTAATATAATGATATCATTTTTCGGCAAAATCACTCAATCAGATGGCACATGTCACGTCCCTACTAGCAAGAGACAATTTGAGGATTAATTTTAGTGATACACCCAACACGTCATTCGCTCTTTGCGAGCTAAGGTAAATTTGAATTTATCACTCCCAACAAACAGTTACGGGAGGTGGATAAGTTTTAGTTTTAAGTTCTTAAGTAATATGTTTTATTTTAAGAATTCAGAATTTTATTGGTTTTGATATTTAACCCTTCCAGCTGATATTTACATTCAACACGGTCATCATCGAATTAACGTCACTTGTGTTTTCATAGGAATTTGGAAGGCTTTTTATGATTCAAGTCAGGTCGACTCCACTCCTTTCAAGGAGGATGAAGTTAGAATATTTAACCCGCATAGCATTCTCGGACCGTTGGATTTATGAATCATATATGACGATCAGAGCACATGCAGGTTGTGTTTAGTTTGAAAATAAAATGTTATATTAATGAATTTGGGCTTTAATTAATCTTGCCACCTAGGCAAGTATATGGCATTTACGTTTCACATCACCATGGTTCCATCGTCCCGAGTTGTCATGGTCTCTGGCCTACTTAGTCAGAGGAGGTAGTCGATCCAACATGACAGTACCTTATCGGCGGACATGGGTTGCTTCATCCAAGAATACCTTGTAGACCATGAGTGGTGTTTGCTTAAGAGAATAGATCTGAATCCACCTTAACTGATAGAGAACTTTATGCCTATCAAATATACCCTATGATTCATTACTCAAAAGTTTAACGCCATTAAGGAACATGCGGGTTATGGCCGTGATCGTAATATAATGATGTCATTTTTCGGCAAAATCACTCAATCAGATGGCACATGTCACGTCCCTACTAGCAAGAGACAATTTGAGGATGAATTTTAGTGATGCACCCAACACGTCATTCGCTCTTTGCGAGCTAAGGTTAATTTGAATTTATCACTCCCAACAAACAGTTACGGGAGGTGGTAGGGGTGTCAATTTTTGACACGACCCGGAAAAATCCGGGTTCGGGTCAACCCGAACACGAAACAGGTTGGGTTCGGGTTGAAAAAATCAACCAGTTTTAAAAATCGGGTCGGGTTCGGGTTGACCCAGCAACCCGAAAACTTAAATTTGACCCGAAAACCCGAGATTGACCCGTTTTGACCCAATTTTGACCCGAAAATTAACAATTTTAGGTCAACTTCAAGTCATTCGTGTCGGGTCGGGTTGACCCGGACCCGAATCGGGTCGGGTTCGGGTCCGGAAACCTGACCCGTTTTTAAAAACAAGTCGGGTTCGGGTTGACCCGAACAGTGCAAAAACAAGTCGGGTTCGGGTTGACCCGAACAGTGCCGGGTCAGTTCCGGGTTCGACCCGAACCCGACCCACTGACCCGAATTGACACCCCTAGGAGGTGGATAAGTTTTAGTTTTAAGTTCTTAAGTGATATGTTTTATTTTAAGAATTCAGAATTTTATTGGTTTTGATATTTAACCCTTCCAGTTGATATTTACATTTAACACGGTCATCATCGAATTAACGTCACTTGTGTTCATAGGAATTTGAAAGGCTTTTTATGATTCAAGTCAGGTCGACTCCACTCCTTTCAAGAAGGATGAAGTTAGAATATTTAACCCACATAGCATTCTCGAACCGTTGGATTTATGAATCATATATGACGATCAGAGCACATGCAGGTTGTGTTTAGTTTGAAAATAAAATGTTATATTAATGAACATTTGGCACAGCGCAACATTTTCAAACATTTGTTTTTGTAACTTTAACACATTTATCAGAGCACATGCAAGATTTAATTTAGTTTGAAAATAAAATGTTATATTAATGAACATTTGGCCCAGCGCAACATTTTCAAACATTTGTTTTTGTAACTTTAACACATTTATCAGAGCACATGCAGGATTTAATTTAGTTTGAAATAGAATGTTATATTAATGAGCATTTGACCCTACATATGTTTGAAAATGTGTTTATAACTTTCTCAAACATTCTCAAAGCACAGTATTCTCAAATATTTGTGTTTATAACTTTAACATATTTGTCGAAGTACATGCAGGATGTTTTGCACTTAAGTTTAGGGAATCATTTTTAATACATAAAGGGGAATTTTAAATATGATAAGTGGCGCAAGTAATTTCGTTTAGAAAAATACACGAGATTTCATTTAAGGGTCTACAAACGTCTTATGTCCGCTTGTACAAATATTGCATCCGGTGGCATTGACTCCAACTCGTTTGCATACAATCGAATGAATTTTAGCCATTTTATATTTATAAATATTTTGGCATAGCTTTTAGCTTTCTAGATCAACAAGATCTCTCTCTTTCCTTATGTATTTTTGATATGCCTTCTTCTGACAGAAAGATGGATAACTATCATTAAAGAGAGCTGGAAAGAAGTGAAGTGATGCTCCTATTAATATGCTAATAGCCCATGAATGGTCTAGTACATTTGAGTTAAAGGAGACATTTCCTGGCATTGACACTACTCTTTGAGTATATATCCCCAAAAATATTGACTGAATAATGTTGTGTAGATCTGATGGATAATAGAATGACTCTTGTGCATCAAAACTCATTATTGCAAAGAGACTTGCTATTATAAAAGGCTAATCCCATAGAAAGAGAATGCAGCTGAAATTCTTAGTTTGAATGGAGTTCTCTCAAAATTTTTAAAAATTAACTTTAATCAACATTGCTAAGACAAGATGAGATGCATGATAAATGTTTTCGAGCAAAGACTATAGTGGCATGGTCCTGATTTGGCTAAAAGATGCATCAAATCAAAATGCTTTTATTTTATATAATCTCAACATTGTACATTGCCAAATTCCTCTTGAATAGCACATTAAAGCCATAATCAATTGTTAATCTCATTTAATTCTTGAAACAAGATTGTGTCACTTTCCATTAATACAATCTACATTGTTTGATTTAATTGATTTAATGTTGTTGTTTTGATTGTCACATACAACAATCTTATAAGCCATTATTATGTGAGTTATAATTTGTTCAATGACTTATATAAACTAAAACATTTCCTCTCTCATTTTTGTATGATCCAATTGATTGGAAACTCAATCGCAATTTGATGGTGCATACCCCTTTTCTTCATCGTCTTAATTTATTGGAACGACAATTAATTATATATATTTTAAATCATTTAAAATGATTAATTTTGTTTGAAATTAATTATATTGAGGGCCGTTTATTTTGTTCAAAATTTTGGCAACCTCCTGGAATCCCCTCCGCGCGAGGGGAGGTTAGGGATTTTGATCGACTCAGCCGGATCAAATCAACGACGAGAACTTTGGGGTATCGAATCGACCACAGTATAGGTCTTCGAGTCTTCTAATGTGCGTGACTTGTTAATTATGTGATTTAATTTTATTTAAAAGGTAGTTTTTATTCCCCTCAAAAATTCGGTAGGCACTTTCCCTTTTGACTCGAATCGACCGGATCAAATCAACGACGAGGGGTTTGGGGGAGCGAATCAACCCCGTTAATGTTTTCAAGTCTTCGATCCACTCGGCCGGATCAGATCGACGGCCAAGGGCTTCGGGGAACCGAATCAAACCGAGGACTTCCTTCAATTCTTTTCCGGTTGAGGTGTCTGTTTGAAAATTCTTTTTTTTTTTCATTATAAATATATAATATGTTATAATATATAATATAACATATTATATATTTATTATAATATAAACACAAGACCATCCAAACAGAGAGCAGGAGATGGAGCCTGATCAGGCTAGGGAACGGCGGCGGAGGTCACGCACGGCGGCTGGAGTCGGCAGGCAGCGGTCTGAGGCATAATGGATGGAGTCGGATGCTAGCAAGCTTGGTCGTGTCGAAGACGGAAGCGGAAGTCGGCGGGCTTTAGTGGGTTCGAGACATCGGCGGCAAAGAGCAAGATCGGGAATACGGGTGTAGAGGAAGAGGTGGAGGCTAGTGTTGCTATGGTACGGCAGCAGGATGTAGAGCAGAGGGCTAGACTTCGGCTGTGAAGAAGATCGTAAGTCCAAAAGGTATGTCGTCGGGCCTTCTTACATGCAGTTCTGAGAGCGTTAGAGTCGAATGAGAGAGGGCTTCGTTGTTTTGTATTGTGAGGAGCGAACGTGGGATCGTGGGTAGGTAAGATCGTGCGTAAGTGAGGCTTGTCGTCGGTTGGGTCGTGGGGTTTGATCGTGTCTTAGAGGTCAACAATATAATATTAAAAAAATGAGTATATCAAGCTTCAATTAATTTACATAATAGGAGCCCCCTTTTGTCTGCAGAGCTAAAACATACTGCACATCACTTTTTGTTACAATAAGTTCTAAAATTTACTTGATTTAACATTTGATATTTTAAAATCAATTTAATTTACAATCTAACTGATGCAAGTAAAGCAGGTCTTCATATCAATAAAGCTTACTTTCATTCATAATCATAACACTTGATTAGCATGACAAAACATTAATTCGATGCACGAGGAAATAAACACATAATAACACACAGGACAACATAATTCTATTAAGGGGTCAAACATACAAAAATTTAAACCACAAGAACACAAAAATGAAATTCCAATAAGCATGGTAATCAATTGATATTGGTGATATTGGAACACACCAACATATAGGCTCTTCTTCAACAGGTTGCAAACCAAATTTACTAAATCAAGCATCATCTCCACGAACACCATAACCAAAGAACCCCTTA